GCCCTATAGGACACCTAGCACACAAAGCCACTCTACCAACACATGGAAGCAGGCAAAATGCGGAGACAAAGAAACAGGTCACAAATGACAGAAATGAAGGAAAGCAAACTACAGGATATAGAGTTCAAAACCACACTTATAAGGTTTTTCAAGGGTTTTCTAGAAACCACCGATAAATTTAGTTGAGACCCTCAATAAATCTAGTGAGATCCTCGAGGATATGAAAAAGGACCAACTAGAAATTAAGCATACACTGACTGAAATAAAGAATATTATACGGCCCCAACCGTTTGGCTCAGTGGATAGAGCGTCAGCCTGCAGACTGAATGGTCCCAGGTTCAATTCCGGCCAAGGGCATGTACCTTGGTTGCGGGCACATCCCCGGTAGGGGGTGTGCAGGAGGCAGTTGATCGATGTTTCCCTCTCATCGATGTTTCTAACTCTCTATCCCTCCCCCTTCCTCTCTGTAAAAAAATCAATAAAATATATTAAAAAATATTATACAGAGATCCAACAGCAGACCAGAGGATCTCAAGAATCAAGTCAAAGATCTGAAATACAAAGAAGTAAAAAACACCCAACCGGAAAAGCAAAAAGAAAAAAGAATCCAAAAATATGAAGATAGTGTAAGGAGCCTCTGGGACAACTTCAAGCATACCAACATCTGAATTATGGGGGTGCCAGAAGAAGAGAGATAGCAAGATATTAAAAACCTATAAAATATATTTAAAAAACAACAACAAATTATTGCCTCAGAACAATGAATGCAGAACACATTAAATATCAGAAAATATGACCCCAAATTTCTGAAGTGAGAGTAACAAGTGAGGTAAAGAGGGAGGGGGGAGGCAGCAGTAGCTAAATAGGGATCAGTATCAGCTTCTGAGGCAACAGCATTAATATAGCCTTAGGAAATGAAAAGAGAGTCAACACGCTACTAATAATCACCTCCAAGTTTGTTACAGCTGCTGTTTTTATATATACATGTGTGTATGTATGTGTTTTTATTGATTTGAGAGAGGAAGAGGGAGAAACATTGGAGAGAGCCATCAGTCAGCTGCCTCCTGCACGCCCCCTACTGGGGATTGAGCCAGCACCCGGACATATGCCCTGACCAGGAATTGAACTGGCGACGTGCGTGAGACCACACTGAACCAACTGAGTCACACCTGCCAGGGCAGTTGATGTTTTTAAGGCTTCTGTAAAATCGCCCAAAGTTAGAGATGCCTACCTTTCAGCACTAAACAAATTTACCTGTGAAATGTAATGGATGGAGCTTAGGACACCAGGAGACTAATCACCTGTCACTATTCCTCACTGAAGGCAATGCCCAAGTACTATTTACACATCACCCTCACTCTTTTCAATCAATGAAAGAACAAGGTAGCCAAATTGTGACTTGGAGGACCTAAGAGAGGGGTGCCTGAGTCCAACCAATCAATGTGTCTCTCTTACATCAAACTTACTTTCTCTCTCTCTCCCTCTCCCCACTGCCCCCCCTTCACTCTCTCTAAAAATCAATGGAAAAAATATTCTTGGATGTGAATTAATAACAAAAAAATAAAAACATATCCTTGGGTGAGGATTAAAAAATCCTATATAATAAAGAGCTAATATGCAAATGGTTGATACACCCTCATGCTGGGGGACCTGAGGCTGCGC